ATGTGAGTACCACTCTCTCTCTCTCTCTCTCTCTCTCTCTCTCTCTCTCTCTCTCTCTCTCTCTCTCTCTCTCTCGGTTCTAAGTGTACACAGCGCTTGGGTGATGATCGGGAACGAACAATCACAGAAAACCCGCTTTCCTCACATTCTCTTCTGTCTCTCCACCGCCTTTTCTAACCTACACGCCGGTGAGAAAGAGAAGTGGTGGTGGTGATCGTCGTGGTCAGCGGCCGCCAAGAACCTGTTATTCCTCTGTGGTGATCACTGCATCATGTTCCATCCCTGGGGGCGACAATGGCGGGACGGCTGGTTCATGGCTGTTCACTGACTCAGCACTAAGAACTCGCCTGGCCGAGATGTGCTGACGCTCTCTGTTCTTCTCGATATGCCTCGAGGGAATAGATCCAGATGCGGTTTTGGATGAGTTGCTGACTCGAATGGATTCTAAGAACTTGTTCTTCGAAAGATTTGTCGGAGCTGAAGAGATAACTGAGTTGAAGACACCAGACTCTTTCAACGCTTGTATTATTACCTGCATTACCCCGACAACTAGAGATTAAGACAAGAACAGGATGCATAGAGTTCCATCCTAGGTTTTGCCTTTGGAATTTGTGTAAAATCGAGTATTCGTACCATCGGTGCATAAATTCGTGTCAGGATGCCCTTCCTCAGGAGTTTCAGCTTCATCTCTTTGTCGCCCCAGACAACATGTGCACGGTACCTAAACAAGATCCAATACAACTTTATGTTACGAAACATATTCAAGTCATCGGAAGAACTTGTAGGTTTGCACTTGTTTGAAGAGTGTTAAAAGATCCAACACTGAATAAACCTGCATAAGATCGTAATGGTGCATCTAAAACTCTTACCAGTTTAACATTTCTTCTCCAGTTGCTGTAGAGGCAATTATGAATGCCTATAATATCAAACGTCCAGAAATCAAAATAAAAAGCATTAGTATAGAGGCGTGGTGCCCGAAATATAAAAAGGAACTTTCAAAGGAGCTGAACTCACAGATCTATCAAACTCCAACATAAAGCATCTTTTCACATCTTCTTTTGTTGGCTTGCAGCCACAACGATCACGTCGGGATGTCAAATCCGAAAATTTTGCATAGGTATAGTGTAGAACAGCAGCCTCCTCCAATTTAATTTCACTGCCATGAATTACCTCGATTTAATATTTCGATTCCATTACTAAATCAAATTGATGATCATCCGCTCCTAAAAAAAGAATAGGAATCACATTCTAACGCTAACACGTTAGGATCACCAAGCGTGGAAGATGCGACCATAGGCAGTATTGAGATCTACAAGCATTGAAATACGAATATACATACTGAGATTGCAGTTAGGAAAAAACAGTATATGGTGCAGTTCTCTCCTCAATGTACTTATAATTGCTAGAAAGCAACTAAGGCAAGTAAATGTAATATGATTAACTAGTTAGAATATAGTGTGCTCTTAGAAATATATGTTTTAACTTTCTCTGCACTTCTTCCATCTTTATAAATATTCACTTATTATTGAGAAAAAGAAGATGCATACTTCGGAGATTTCATGTAATTATGCCATCTGTGTGCACCATTTGGACGGAGGTGCTCTTGAATACGAGCGACTGATTTCCCATTTCCGTAAGTCAAGAAGTAGTTTGGATTTCCACGTGTTGCTTCCTTGTACATCCCAAAGTATGTATCTTTCGGAAGATGGTCGTAGTTCTTCTTGAACATTGACACCTGATAGCGTGAAGCGCATGTAAGAAGAGGCTCAAATGTTCCATGACACACCCATTGAAACCACTACAGCTCCAGGATCTGATTTACTGAGATGATTCAAAAGGGAAACAGTAGAATTTATACCTCGGTAAAAGGATCCTTGATATCATCTCTTTCAACACTGCTTTCCTGAAGAACACAAGCCAAAACATTTACTCATGCTGCAAGCCAGATCATAGGTGGAACTAAATCTATGATCGTGCACTGCAATATTTATAAGATTAACAGAAAAGAAGCTTAAACAAACGAAAATCAGTCTCACTCACATAATTTGGAAATATAACCATATCAACATTTGGAGGGACATCGAGCAACAACTGCCTCAATGAGTACTCACGAGCACCAGCAGGGTATATTAACTCGTCAGTGTCAAGATGAAGTATCCAATCCATGCCCGCATCCTGATATATAGCAAGGAGAATATGTATCAATCAAAGATAGAAAATCTATAAAATAACCAAGTAAGCTCAATAACAATGCATACCCTTGCCATGATAATAGCCATCTCCATGTTGAGAGATTGCTTGACAAATAATTCATAATTGCATGGCTTGTAAAAGAAAGCTGATAACCACGTCTCATTCCAAATCCGACTGATGACCCATAGACAAAAGGAAAAAAAATCCATCAGCAGACCAACATACAACTCAAATAAAAAACGACACAACGGCATGCAAGAACAGAACATGTCACAACCTACTACAAATCATCTATCCTTCCTAAAAGGACTTCTAATACTACAAACGGGCCAACTAGAAGATCTCTTCAACGCGTTATAGTGCATTCCTAATCTAAAGATTTGCCAAAGAAAAGTAATGTGAATATTGACTGACCTCTTAGCCTGCTTCTCCTCCAGCTCTTTAGTTCTGTATATTACCTTAACTCCCTGAAAGAGAAAACAAAATTCGTATGCAATGAACAAAAAGTCTTAATATACAATTTTAGGGATCAAAGTGATACTTACAGAGGGATAACACTAAAACACATTGATGGAACTGAAAGGGAGTTTCACTCACTGGAATAGACTCCAAGACTTTCGAAACGCTGGGAGTAGCAGCTTTCCCTTCTACAAAAAGGTAAAATGTCGAGACTCCTAAAACCTTATGATAGAACATCCATGGCAGAATCTGTTCCAAACCGGCCGATGTGCTTGTCGTGATACATATCTGTAAATCAAACATAACAGCAACAATGTCATGAACATTTAACCTAACTATGAAAAATGTAAGCACACTCGACTCAACTATGAAAGCTTCCAGCCCAGAACCTAGAAAGATGGGTCGTGATCAATCGATTCATCCGACCTAGAAATCCCGAACAGAACAAGCGAATATGAGCAAGACCGAACATTCCAGATTGATAACCGGTTCAAGATTTCAGATCGACCCATACAGAACAAGAAATTCGGATTTCAGATCGACCCCGGCACAAAGGGAACGGATCACGGAACTTAGGGTTTACCTTAGGCTTCAAATTGGCATCAACACCAAACTTCCAGTCTCCGTAGTAAGGGAACGATGGAGAAGAGCTACGAGCGAGATTGAAGCAATCGGAGGACGATAGATGAGCCTTGGTAGAGACTGAAGAAACAGTCTCCATTCCAGGAAACACCTCGTGGTTGAGATCAGAGCCGCCAGGAGCCCAAGTGGAGGATCCGACAGCGGATACGGAGGTCGGGTCGGCGAGTCCGCCGCCGCGCCATTGGAGGACGAAGGCGAGACAGGCGAGCGAGACAGGGAGAAGCGTCAGGAGAAGAAGAAGCCGAGAAACGAAGGAGTGGCTTGAGGAAGAAGAAGAGGAGGAAGATGCAGCGGAGATGAGTGGAGCACGGTGGTGATGGTGGTTGGATTTCATGGCGAATTTCAGAGAAAACGTAAAATGGCCTGGAGGAAGAAGAGCGAGTAGTGTCTTTGAGATCTATACGATGAATTTGAATCAGATACAAACATAAAGCAGCTTTATTTATTGTACATAAACAAATGTAACAAAAAATAAATAAAATTCAGATATTATATTATTAATACAAGATAATAAGATCGTCCTGATTAAGTATATCCTGTTTTTTTCCTCCGAAGAAATTCACAAATTAGTGATCATATCAATCCATTTCTCAATTAAATATTTATTTTCGAGATATAAATATCTATAATGATCGATATCCTTTGCATAAACTATATATGGTCCCATATGAAAACAAACTATATAATTACATATAACATACATGCAAATTACGCCTATATATGTCAGATGGGTATGTTTTGTCCGAACAAGGAGACGATGTACTCCTTCACGTACTCTGGCTCGGTGTATCCGTCACCGTACTTGTAGAATACCTCACAAGCCCTCGTTACATTAAGAATTCCGATTAGAAGAGGGAAAGGCACGGAGTGAGGCCTCCTCATCAGTTCTCCATTCAGATCCTTCCACGAATCCGATATCATGTTTCGGATCTCTTCCGTGGCTTTGCCCTTCGAAACGCCGTACTGCTTCATGTAACAATCAATGGCCGTTCCGACGTGTTTCCGCTTGTGTTCCATCTGAAATCCGTGGAAATTATGATGCCAGAAAGATTAGAAGAAATTGAGAGGATGCTTCAGGGCGAATGGTTCGGTTCGGTTCGATTTATTTGGATACGGTTAATTCGAAAAATTTGAACTTTTTTTTTTCTAATTACCTCGTAGCCAGCAATGTCATCCTTGAATCGGCCGATAACTTCCGCCGCTAGCAGAGGTTTAGGGCGTGAGCTTAACCACTTGAAGGCATCAACATTGCCAACTCTTTCCATCCCTACAATGCTTGCGGCAACCACGGAAAGGATTGCGGACGAAAGAGCTCCGTTCTCCTTGTACTCTTCAAACATCGGTATGTAATCTTTGTTTAACCACTCCGCCTCTCGATTGTAACTTTTGCCGAGCATTTTCAGCTTTCCCCCCAAAAAAAATCAAACGTATACAGTTTATATTAGAACAAGAAAACATAGAGTTTTTTTTTTTATAATTTGAAAGTTCACCGAACTTTTACCCAACTATATCTCACAGAGAACCAGAAAAGTTCAGGTAAATACATTTCTCCACGTTTCGACATACAGTTTTAATGCATATGTGAAGAAAAAAAATCGATAGAAAGGGTTATACTGCACATTACCAATTTTTTCAGATAGAATCCACATCCGGATCTTCCTTCTTCCTCCATTTCTTTCTCCATCTTGTCGTAAAAATCTATCATAATATGATAGACGTGTTTCATGCTATCTGGTAGCACGTGAGGGGCAGCAGGAAGCCACCTGTGTGATATGGAGAAGATACGAGAATATTATTGAGATATACAAAAAACATCCCAAAAGATTATCAAACGATCGATACGAAGAATATCTTATGTGTTATAACATTCTCTTTCTCTCTCTCTCGTCAAAGCGTATCATGAATATCTGCATATTGTATATGATAGTTGGTTAATCTATGACACAGACATTTGTATTTTGGAGATCAATTACGTGTCCAATGCGTCAGTGAAGAGTTCGAGTTCCTCTAGAGTGCCGTAAGCATCATATGTGTCATCGATGAGTGTAATTATGAGTATAACAATTGCCAGTGTGACCCGTGCCCGTGAGTATTTCGGCTCGAAATATGTTCCGAGCGCCCACAAGAAGGCTTCGACTGTCCTATTCCTCGCGTACGGTACATTCGATTCAATCCTTAGATCGTTGTACCACCTGAAAGTACATCGAAAAGAAATTCAGATGCAGCAAATAGAAATCTAGTACTCAATGTATAACTTGGAGAGAACATTTCCACCTTGATACAAGGGCAATCTCTTCAAGGTGTAGGAGTTGCAATACGTTGAAATCAACCTTAGCGAATTCCAGCAATGTCTCATCACGCATCTCCTCTTCTTCGTAGTACGAGATGTATTGTCTTGCCTCTATCCTCGGGATGCCTTTGTGATACGGGTGCCTCAGTGCATTCTTGATGCGTGTTGCAAGATGGGGGCTGCATCGAGATGACAGATCTTCCAAAACCGTCGTGGAGAAAACGGCAGCTTCGTCTAGAAAATCTTCACCGTGGGTCCTCCAATGTGAAGCCTCGTACAAGCTCACCATTCCCTTGGCATCTGCTCCATGATTCCCCTTCAACTTTCCGTCTTCGTCCTTAAACTTGTCAAACACATCTTAGAATGTACAGACCATTATTAGTGTATTAAACAATTTAACCTCTTCATTAACTTTAACCAAAAAAACAAAAGAAAAATGAGTAATGAATCCAACCAAAGACGAGTTTCATACCCGCGGAGAGTTTGAAGCCGAATTGTCTGAAGACTTGGAAAGCAAGCCCGACAGTACACAAATCGCATTCCTCGCTCCTTATGATACCGTGAAAATCACGACTCGCGAATATCTTCCCCAGTTGCTCCTCGATTTCTTTTTCGAAATGGTACGACACACCAAGGCGGCACAACGTGTCGATGAACTTGATGCTTTCAATAGGATTAGCTTTCGAAACCGTAAACAATTCCATCACCTGCTTTTTCAGCGAACTCAGCCTCTCCGTGTATGCCTCTTTTGTCTACCAGTCGCAGTAAAGAAAATTTATAACAAAATTTGCCAATTTAAAAATTATTATGGGTAGTCGGCTATAACGTATAATTTACAAATATATATATATGTGTGTGTGTGTGTGTGTGTTCATGGCTCAATATTTACCATATGGTCCGTATGGGGAATCCAGGAAGAGGACAAGTATTCTTCCCCGACACCGGCAGGGAAATCAGCTAAAGGCCGAGAGGCCTTTCTCTCGGCTTCGATCCAACTCTTTTCCATATGTCCCAAAGGTTAGTTTACCCGTTCTCATTGTCAATATATGCACTGGGGGACATTATATATAGAACCAGCCACGTGAAAAATATGAACACCTTGGATACGGATAGAAGGTAATGAACAATAAAGGCCCCAACACCAACAACGTTATTACTCGTCGATGATTTCTAAGGCATCGCATTGTCTTCTAGACGCCTAATAAAGTTGACACAAACTTCTTCAGCGAACTCAGCTTCTCCTTGTACGCCTCTCTTGCCTATAATCAAAATAATCGAACCGAACCGGACCTGAATTGACCACCCCTAATCCTAATTTTTGGCATACCACATTGGACGATTTCATGCTGGATATTGAACGACCGGACAAAGATTGGTGTGATTGAGTTTTTCTTACGGTGTTATCTGACCATTCCAAACCAAACTGAATTATGTCTGGGCAAAGCTGGATTTTGAAAAAAAAAAGCTATTTTTCAAAATCGAAAAACTTGGCTTCAGTTCCGATTCGATATAGACCAAAATCTGAATCAGATTGATATTGAAATATCTAAAAATGAAATTGTTAATTTTTCCACGCCGGTCAAGCCAGGCAAAGGTTGAATTGAATGGATGAACCTTTCTGGCGAAAACGTGAAAAATGGGTGCTAATTTGTGGCGTCGATAATGAATAATGGCCCCCTAGCCCCCAACGGTTAACCGTCGTCGTGAAACTAAGCTTTTAATGCAAAGGATTTTACAACAGTTCGACGAAAACTCCTTTAATGATCCTCAAATTTGGAAAGAGAATGTATAATCTAAATCACATGGATAACTTCCGTCTCCAAGATTAGTCTAGACATTGGTTCAGTATATCCCATTACCAAAAAAAAAATTATTCAATACTTTATATTTATAATTTTGTACGTATCTCTATTAGATTCGAGAACGATTACTTAATTTTTTTTGTCGCCTATAATTATTTTAAATTTAATTAACTATTTCACAATCAAAACCACACCAAAACCCACTTGCTTAGGCAAGCGTTAAAACGGGTGGTGAAATCACAATTTTAAATTTTAATGATAGTTTCTGCAGCTATGAGAAGTTTAGGGCGGGTGGTGAAAGCACTCGAGTTTGCCATCATCAACCATGCCCGCAAAGCATGCGGCTATCACTGGATAGAAACCGGATGTAACAGCTGCATTCTCCATGTATTCCTCAAACGTCGCAGTATAATCCTCGCTCAACCACTTTGCCTCTTGAAAGTAGCCCTTCCCAAGAATCTTCATCTTTTGGCAAAAAATGCCAAACAAAAAGATATTTATACAAGTCAAGTGATGATCGATATCGTGTGGAAAGTTATAGTTACATGCATCTTACCGACGAATTCAGATGGAATCCACAACCTGATCGTCCGTCCCTCTCCATTTCCTTCTCCATCTTGTCAAATAAATCTATCATAATATGATAGACGTGCTTCATGCCATCCGGTAGTGTTTAGGGTGCATCAGGAAGCCACCTGAGTGAGCCGTATATATGTATCACATTATTGGCTATAACCATATCAAACTAGATCTATATTGTGTTGATCATGACTGCAATATTTATAAGATTAACAGAAAAGAGGCTTAAACAAACGAAAGTCACAGTCTCACTAACATAATTTGGAAATATAACCATATCAACATTTGGAGGGACATCGAGCAGCAACTGCCTCAATGAGTACTCACGAGCACCAGCTGGGTATATTAACTCGTCAGTGTCAAGATGAAGTATCCAATCCATGCCCGCATCCTGACACATAGCAAGGAGAATATGTTTCAATGAAAGACAGAAAATCTACAAAATAACCAAGTAAGCTCAATCACAATGCATACCCTTGCCATGATAATAGCCATCTCCATGTCGAGAGATTGCTTAATTCATAATTGCACGGTTTGTAAAAGAAAGCTGATAACCACGTCTCATTCCAAATCCGACTGATGACCCATAGACAAAAGGAAAGTAAATCCATTAGTAGACCAACCCAACATACAACTCAAATAAAAAAACAGCACGAGCATACAGGAACAGAACATGTCACAACCTAATACAAATCATCCATCCTTCTCTAATACTATAAATGGACCAACTAGAAAACCTTATGATAGAACATCCATGGCAGAATCTGATCCAAACCCGCGGATGTGCTTGTCGTGATACATATATGCAAATCAAACGTAACACCAACAATGTCATGAACATTTAACCTAATTATGAAAAATGTGAGCACAGTCAACTATGAAAGCCTCCAGCCCCAGAACCTAGACCCAATTGGCCGTGATCGATCCATCGGGCATAGAAATCCGAACAGAACAAGCAAGACCCAACACTCCATATTGATAACCGAATCAGGATTTCAGATCGACACATACAGAACAATAATAAACTCAAATTTCAGATCGACCCCGGGATAAGGGAATGAATCACGGAATTTAGGGTTTACTTTAGGCTTCAAATTGGCATCAACACCGAACTTCCGATCTCCGTAGTAAGGGAACGATGGAGAAGAGCTACGAGCGAGATTGGAGCAATCGGAGGACGAAAGATGAGTCTTGGGAGAGACAGAAGAAACAATCTCCATACCTAGAAACACCTCGTGGTTGAGATCAGAGCCGCCAGGAGCCCAAGTGGAGGACCCGACAGCGGATACGGAGGTCAGGTCGGCTAGGCCGCCACCGCGCCATTGGAGGACGAAGGCGAGACAGGCGAGCGAAACAGGGAGAAGCGTCAGGAGAAGAAGAAGCCGAGAAACGAAGGAGTGGCTAAAGGAAGAAGAAGAAGAAGAAGATGCGGCGGAGATGAGTGGAGCACGGTGGTTGGATTTCATGGAGACTTTCAGAGAATTCGTAAAAATGGCTTGGAAGAAGAAGAGCGAGTAGAGTGTTTTTGAGATCTATATAACGAATTTGAATCACATACAATGCAAGCAAAAAAAAAACACACACACACTGCGAAGTAATAAAATTCAGATATTATGGGGAGTCCCCTAGCCTAGTGACAACCCCCTCTACCATGAGGTTGTGGGTTCGAATCCCAGGTATGGTACTCCCCTTGAGCCGGTCAGCTTTACGAAGATGGTTTACCTGCTCTGCGTGGTTTGCCGGCTACTGCGTAGGGCGGTGGGTTTTCTCAGGTCCGGACACCGAAGGGTTGTAGGATAGGGGTTTCCCATCGTACCAAAAAAAAAAAAAAAAAAAATTCAGATATTATATTATTAATACAAAATCATATCGTAAAAAAAAAAAGACATTGATAAATACTCAGATGGGTATGTTTTGTCCGAGTAAAGAGACGATGTAATCCTTCACGCGCTCCGGCTCGGTGTACCCGTCACCGTACTTGTAGTACACTTCAGTACCCCTCAATATATTCAGAATTCGCATCAGAAGAGGGAAAGGCACAGTGTGAGGCCTCGTCACAAGTTCTTCATTCAGATCCTTCCACGAATCCGATATCATGTTTCGGATCTCTTCCGTGGCTTCGCCCTTGGAAACGCCGTACTGCTTCATGTAACAATCAATGGCCGTTCCCACGTGTTTCCGCTTGTGTTCCATCTGAGATCGAATTTAAGCGCATATATGTGTTTTAGATTTGGATACACATTGATGATTTTTATAAACTTTGATAAGTACCTCGTGGCCAGCAATGTCGTCCATGAATCTCATGATAGTTTCAGCGGCTTGGAGAGGCTTAGGGCGTGAGCTTAGCCATTCGAAGGCTTCAAGATTGCCGAAATCAACCATCCCCGCAAAGCTTGCGGCCACCACCGCATAGGCGCCCGACGAAAAAGCTCCGTTCTCCTTGTATTCGTCGAACGTCGCTACGTAATCTTCTTCCAACCACTTTGCCTCTCGATAGTAGCTCTTTCCGAGTATTTTCATCTTTTATCAAAAAAGATCCATATACAAAAAATAAATAAATTATACAACCTCCATAGATTCACATGAAAACACACACAATGGATTTACGTATGGATAGGGATCTGCTCTTGTTCGCCTTACCGACATTTTCAGATGGAATCCGCAGCCCGATCTTCCTTTCTCCTTCTCTAGCTCATTCTCCAATCCGTCGTAAAAATCTACCATGATATGATAGACGTGCTTTATGCTATCTGGTAGTTGGTATGGTGCATCTGCAAGCCATCTGCGTGACCGGTATCAGTTTCATTGTCGGCAATCATGACCATATATATATATAAACAGACGTTTGCACCTGTCCAATGCATCTGTGAAGAGTTTAAGTTCTTGTATAGTGCCGTATGCGTCATATGTGTCATCGACGAGTGTCAATACGAGCAATGTAATGGCCATTGTGACCCGTGCCCGTGAGTACCGTGGCTCGAAATATATAGTGAGCGCCCAGAAGTAGGCTTCAGCCGTCCTATTCCTCCTCGCGTACGGTACCTTCGATTCAATCCTTAGATCTTTGTACCACCTGAAAGTACATTGAAAAGGAATTCAGATGTAACACCGAACGATAAACAGTTAAAAGTCTAAGTTTCATCCGAAGCAAAGTTACCTGGACACAAGGGCAAGCTCTTCAAGGTGTAGGAGTTGCAATACGTTGAAATCAACCTTGGCGAATTCGAGCAATGTTTCATCACGCATCTCTTCTTCTTCGTAGTACGAGATGTATTGTCTCGTCTCTATCCTCGGGGCACCTCTATGATACGGATGTTTCAGAGCATTCTTGATGCGTGTTGCCAGATGGAGGCTGCATCGAGAAGCTAGTCCATCCAAAATCGTCGCCGAGAAAACAGCAGATTCGTCTAGAAAATCTTCACCGTGGGTTCTCCACTGTGAAGCCTCGTACAAGCTCAGCATTCCCTCTGCATCTGCTCCATGATTCCCCTTCAGCTTCCCTTTCCCGTCCTTGAACTTGTCGAACACATCTTAGAATGTACAAAACCATTATTAGTGTATTAAAACCTCTTCATTAATCTTTAACAAAAACGACAATGTGGATAATGAAGGGGGAATCCAAAGACACGAGTTTGATACCGGCGGAGAGATTGAAGCCGAATTGCCTGAAGACCTGGAAAGCAAGCCCGACCGTACACAAATCGCATTCGTCGCCCCTTATGATGCCGTGAAAATCACTACTAACGAATACCTTCCCCAACTGCTCCTCGATTTCTTTCTCGAAGTGGTACGACACACCGAGGCGACACAACGTGTCGATGAACTTGACGCTTTCGATATGGTTAGCTTTCGAAGCCGTAAACAATCCCTTCACCTGCTCCTTCAGTGAACTCAGCCTCTCCTTGTACGCCTCTCTTGCCTGCCAGTTACGTGCAATAAAAGAAACTTAATTTGCAACAAAATTTCAAAAATTATATGTGGTCATGACGGGTGTACGTACCGAATGGTCTGTGTCCGAAGAAAGGCTGAGAGCAGCCGACAAGAAATCCTCGCCGGTGCCAGCCGGAAAATCAGCTAAAGGCCGAGAGGCCTCTTTTTCAGCATCCACTGGACTCTTTTGATGCTCCATATGTATATATATATATATATTATATGCTAACGGTTCTCGGTTTTGGCAATTCTTATTGAACAATGGAGCGCTATATATATAGAATTAGAACCAACCACGTGAAACTTGTCATATATTTTTTATAGCCACTAGTATTTAACTATATTATGGGCATGGTTAATAAAGTATATGTGATTATATTTGGTAATATATATATATAAGATTATATTTAATTATGGCTTTGGTTATTATTTAATTCATCATAATTAATTGAATGAAAATGTGTATAATTTATGATTTTTATTATTTCTTAAGTTAGCTTTGTAGATAAATAGAAAATTCTCTACTCCTATATGATATAAAAAAAAAAGCTAGTCAAGAGAGAGAATGTCATTCAAAAAAGTTATAACTTCTAGAAATTATATATCAGTAATAATTAATATATTATTATTTTGAATAGTTTTGTTTATAATAGCAAAGAGACACTTTTAGAGTTGTATAATTTTTTTTTTCAAATGAAATGACATCTCTTCTTAGATAATTTTGTTCACTTGTTTTAGTGGCAACATAACAATTGGTACTTATTTTTATAAAACCGAAACAAACATAATATAAAAACTGATTCATATCTATTTTCATAAAACCAAAAAAATCGAACCCATACATTCTCATCCTAAACCCAAACCGATTCCCGAAACTTACAACCCTCGAATCGAGCAACATAGAAACAGCCAACAGGCCACGTAGCTTTACAGAGACAGACATGTTAATCTTTGGCATTGCTTGCTTAGTGACGTCTCCAATAGTATATTGGTGCAAAAGATACGGTGGAGGGGACGTGGCTCAATGCCATCCATATGGTTTTTATTTCTTCGGCCTATAAACAGACACTCCTACGCTTTGATTAAAGCAATTTGAAAGAAAAAAAAACATTATCTGAGAGCTTATAAAAATATATGTTTCCCACTTGATCCATTTGAATATATTAGCTTTTTTTTCTCTCTGGGTGTTCAAATAATTGAGTGTGCTGTATTCCACATATGGTTATCGATATACGTAGACGTAGAAATCGCTGCCACGTTAAATTCTTGTGTCATTTTATTTTCTTTCGTCCCGGTACACTTACGAATAATGTTAGGAAACACTAGTAAGTCCGAAATATTGTTAAAAAGACATTGATACAATACTCAGATGGGTATGTTTTGTCTGAGTAAAGAGACGATGTAATCCTTCACGCGCTCCGGCTCGGTGTACCCGTCACCGTACTTGTAGTACACCTCAGTGCCCCTCAATATATTCAGAATTCGCATCAGAAGAGGGAAAGGCACAGTGTGAGGCCTCCTCATCAGTTCTCCATTCAGATCCTTCCACGAATCCGATATCATGTTTCGGATCTCGTCCCTGGCTTCGCTCTTCGAAACGCCGTACTGCCTCATGTAACAATCAATGGCCGTTCCCACGTGTTTCCGCTTGTGTTCCATCTACAGTCGATTTTTAAGCGCATATATATATGTTTCAGATTTGGATATACATTGTTGATTTTGTTTAAAAAAATTTGTTTTGGTAAGTACCTCGTGGCCAGCAATGTCGTCCATGAATCTCATGATAGTTTCAGCGGCTTGGAGAGGTATAGGGCGTGAGCTTAGCCATTCGAAGGCTTCAAGATTGCCGAAATCAACCATCCCCGCAAAGCTTGCGGCTATTACTGTATAGGTGCCAGACGAAGAAGCTCCGTTCTCCTTGTATTCGTCGAACATCGCTACGTAATCATCGTCCAACCACTTTGCCTCTCGACAGTAGCTCTTTTCGAGTATTTTCATCTTTTATCAAAATATCCATATACAAAAAACCCATCGATCTCATACAATAGTTTATAAACCACGTGAAACAGGTAAATCAGTCGAAACCGATAAATTCAAAGAAAACGTATACTCGGTTGAACCCATTACCTCCCACTAAAAGTTTTATACTCTCAACCAGCCGAACATGATACGGATTTGTTACTTTGAGAACCAAGAAACCAGTAAGAGGCAATAAAAAGAAGATAGTGTAAGAGGAGAAAATAGTAGAAAACGATACATACGCCTCGTTGTATAAGCAAGCGAACACTATTCTTACATTCACGGGGTGATTCATCTGAATTCGTCAGAAAATTTCAAGTCCTATTCACGTGAGCCCCATAGGTAAACGTGTCCACATTTCCCAACCCCAACGCTCCCATGCAAAACCAACCCAATATGTCCCCTCACTTCTATATAAACCCTAAAACCCTCGAACACCTTCACAACCATCAAAACCCTATATCTGATAAAGGAGAACAGGATGGCAAAACTTTCTCTTGTTCTGGTTGGTTTAGCGATCTTTCTGGTCACCGAAACCCTAGTTTCGGCACAGCAACAATGCCGGGGAGACATCGGTGGCCTGATGAAAGAATGTGCGGTATACGTGCAGCGGCCAGGCCGGAAAGTTGACCCATCCCCGGCCTGCTGCAGCGTCGTGAAGGCTGCTGACATTTCTTGCGCATGCGGTCACATCACGGCCATGGTCGAGAAAGAGATCGACATGGATAAGGTCGTCCATGTGGCCGCCTTCTGCGGAAAACCCCTCGCCCACGGAACCAAGTGCGGGAGTAAGTTCAAGTTTCGATTTGTTTTCCGAATATATGTGCACGCATGCGTGCATTATATATATACACGTGGTGTGTGTATATATACGTGCATGTCTTTCGTGCGCATCTCTTGACGGCATTTTATCATCCATATAGTATAATGTATGTTATGATCATCAGGGAAGAATTTCAGTACTGACAGGTTGTTCTGTTTCTTGTGTCGCAGGTTACGTTGTCCCGTGAAAGAATGTTGTCATGGCATGATTGGACCTGAACCTATGTGATGGAATAATTTGTTGAAGCCTTGTAGCTTTCATCTCGTACTAATTCGATCAAGTCTAGTGTAATGAACAATATTTCATAAAAATAATATATTCTCCGTATTCCGTTATCCATTTAAATACTTTCATATAATGTTACTAATAATAAAAACCTGAAAACTTTAAAAGTTACCGTACCAGAGTTCAGTGCCAAGACAAATCAGTATATAACGACAGAAATTCAGTTTCCAAATTCTTACAACCAACTCGTGAAGTATCACGTTAAGACATAATAAAACACAAAACTTTCCCACCGCGACCAAAGTATAATCAAAATCTAAAAAACTATGCAGCATGCTTCCCACTCCCTCCTTCAAGTAACTCACCAAGAACAAGATCATCAAAACATCGTCGGAATTCTGGGAGAGAAGCAGCTTTTCTGTATAAGGGGGCATGTTTCCGATCATTATCATCTGCCCGAGATGGAGAGCGAGATCGATTTTCAATCTCTACACTTGCTTGTAGAAGAGGACGTATGCTTGGTCGTGCAAAACTTGTTTCGTCCCTATGGCGGTGACAGAAGCATCGTCAAACCTTAGCCATTGTTCGTTCTGTCGTCTGGCATCCGTGGTGTAATGCCCTTTCGAGGGATCCCTCCCATGGTGGGTTATAGTGGCGACAAGTTCGTATCTTGAACCCTGCAACACGACAATAATACAAAGGAAATTCCGTATTAGCTTATATATGGTAACTAAGCACCAGGCTTATTCCAGAAAATTTTCCACGAAACAGAGCACCACAATAGTAGTAGGCATTGTCTTGTTTGCCTCTTCTTATTTTCATGTATATGACAGTGTGAAACTATCAAACCATTGCATTTCATAATTAAATCAAAATAGGAAAGACCCTACTAGCGTTGATACACTTTCACTACTAACTAAGCAGAAAACAGAACAAAATTCCATGGTGAGACCCAACTGAGCTGAACTCATATAAATGCAGAAGGTTAATGGGGGAAAACAGCTAGAAAGAAAATGGGGCACATGGAATGAGCCTTTACTTTAGACCATTTTAACTTTCTTAATGTACCTTGTTAGATGGAGAAACGAGCAGGTGGCGACCTAAGTTGAGTTCAAGCGGAAAGTGAACTGGCTTGTGCAGCTTTGTACTCCCTTGGCTCCCGTAGCTAAACCGCATTAGGTGCAATATCATTATCTTTGAGAGCGCAAGTATCTTTGTCGATTTCCTAGCACTCACAACACCAGCCTGAAGCAAATCCAAACAAAATAAGCCAGATGATAAAAGTAAGCAAGTAACATTTCATCAGGGCATTGCATGACAACAGAGATAGATCACCTTCCCAGTTACTGAGGCTCGATACCCCTCGAGATCTTCTTGGGCAGAAAACAAATGCAACGCATCTTCTATCGTGCACACTGCTTCAGGATGTATATCAAGGTGAAGTAAGAGATATGGCTGTACAGTAGCAGAATCTTTGTTTCCTGTTCCACAAAGGATATATATTAAGGCCTGGCAAAGTGACAAACGCAAATTCCAGTCTTAATCTTAGTATTGACTTTTTAGGCTCATGTGAGACACCACAAAGAATCTCCATACCTTTTGCTTTGACCACACTTCTTAGCTGCCCTCCGAATATGGCACTGAGCTCAGAAGGCACAAAGCTTTGAGTTCTAGTCACGGCTGATTTGTTTTTGGGTCCAACTGTTTCCCATTCATCATGGTCATCGTTGTTGGTAGAAGAAACGATTGATGACCTGGCACCAGTACTGCTAGAGGACTGTCCCCTGAGCTTCAGTAGATCATTGTGCAATTGGTCCATTATAAAACTCAAAAACTCCTGAGCATCTTCCTGCCTGCCAACAAGTGTGAACAAACAGTTAAAACCATACAGAACAACTAATACAAAGATGAAGTACATAGGTTAAAAAATTAAGAGATTACAAACCTCGGCCTGCCAGACATGTTGTTGGGCACATCTGGCGTAAACTTTCTAAGGACCTCCTCAAACATGGCAGGTGTAAAGGGTCTACCAGCCACAACCACAGCAGCATTATTTCTTAAGCTTGAACTACTAGGTGGTTCTAATTCAGCGATGAACTCGGAAAATGCCGCTAATGTTGGACACTCAGCCTTAGAAGACAGAAAAAAGAATGAACAGGTTAAGTAAAGAGAAGAAAAAGAGGAAAAGCCGAAAAGGACAGATCCAAACCAAATGTCAGAACCACCAATAAAAACCTTGGGAACATGTTGAACTTTAAGTTCCTGTAGGAGCTGCACAAAAGGAGAACATGACAACAGAGCCTGAAGAGTGGCGTTGAGGAAGCACAAATTTCCGGCATTGACTAAGCCTCTTGGAATGTAGTCTTTAACGGCTGCAACAAAGTCAGCAGGGCCCATAAGATTATTCTTTCTTGCCATGTTACCAGATGAAGAATCACTCGCTGCCAATACTTCGCCATCCAGAGCACTGAATTTCACCCCCAAAGCTTTATACGAAGAATCGCTTTCACTGTCTGATACAGACAGCTCATCCAAATCAACCGAATCGGTTTTCGGTGCCACACCGTTACTCTGGGACGACACTTTTACAGTTCCATTTTCTTTCACATGTTTTGGTACTCCCGCAGAGTAATCATTAGACACTTTTCCATCCTTGTCCTTATGAGAAGTGGAAGGACTAGAAGTATAACCTTTCCTCTGAGAGCTGGAAAGGAGGGATACGTTTATGCCATCAACCAGGTCCTTCTTCAATTCACCATTAGTACTTGTCACAGATTTCCCAGAGTCAAGATTCAAGGACCCAAATTGTATACTCTTAACATCTTTCTTTCCACAATTTTGGGCAGCCTTGGTGGGTTTCTGCCCGAGTAACGACCTGGTTTCATCTTCAGTAAAGGATCCAAACACAAACAGCTGTGAAGAACAGTATAACGAGGAAAAGGGTCAGCGAACCAATAACACAAATGAGGGAATTGGGAGTTAACTTCATGGTTTCTGTATACCAACAAAGTTTGCACTCCTTTCCATTGCGAAGTTAATATGTTGAATTAATAACAGAGATAATATTAAAATCTCCTATAACACAATATTTTCCAGAGGCGAAATTGGCGAATTGCACTTTGATCAACCGTGAATACAACTATTAGATACATATGATTTCAACCTAAACCTATCGAAAACTACGTTTCAGTTCTTAAATCTTGTTGAAAGACAACAGATCAAACATCATATTTATCGAACAACGATAGAAATACATAGTCCTAAAATCCGATGCAACAATAACAAAGATACTAATAATCTCCTATATAGCATCAAAGAGTAGAATGAAACAAGACCAAAATACCAAACCCTAAACCTCGGAGGGGAAAAAACCAACGAAACTGCGAAATAAATATCCGAATTACCTTCTTTTCACTCATGATTCGCGCTATATCGCAACGGGAGAGGACCGGAGCACCAAAAGAATCCAAATCTAGTAATCTGAATCGGAGAGGAAACGAAAGGGTAGGGAGAGATTTCAAAAAGGGAACTGAAATCTAGGGTTTCAGAGACCAACAACCCTGGAGGAGAGTCGGGGACTGGAGAAGACATGAAAGGGAAAGACGAGAGAGACGGAAAGAGCATTTACTTGGGGAACCCTCTCCTCGGTTTTTATCTGCAACTTCGAAATAGAGAAGCATCCGAATTCGAGGAGGATGAGGAGGACACCTTTTCCTTTTGAGTTTGGGAACAAATCTAGGGTTATGTTTTTTTTTTTAATATATAGTTTCTTTTTTTTTTGCTGGTGTCGGATTATTGTTGGGGGTGGAGGGAGAATCTAAGGCCGCGTTTGGATCTTATATCGTCAATTTTGATAAAAACGCGTCCGTAGCGTTCTAAGGATCCAACTCCTACAAATACGGTCCCCGTAATGTTTTCCTAAACCGAAAAAGAAAAATAATAGATTAACCGTCAAATCTTGGGCACACAAAATTTTATTTTATTTTCCCAGTTCTGGTTAAATCCATTTGTTTTTTTTGTAAAATTTTATTTTAATTTGAAATTTTTTAAAAATTATGTAGAGTTGATAATAAATTCATGTGTTTATGAAATTTTTTCTATATTAACATAATAACACAAATGCATACCCTACACAAACACACCCGTAGTGAACCTTAGGGGTAAAATAATGGGATCAACTCTGATTCAAAAGTCATGTACATAAATAGTTTGTATTCATATTCAGATATTAATATGTGATATTTATATATTTAAATTTGAGTTCAAATTTAGATATCCGTGGACAAAAAAATATCCTCGTTGATGAGAAAAAAAAATAATGTACGAAAATGGAGCCGAATTTAGTTACCAAACCAAAGATTTTTATTTCCACGAGTTAAAAGCGATCCTCTAAATACCATCCAAAACCCCATCAATGGCAATCAAAATTCTTGACGCCAAGTCCTCGTCGTCTGTGGTTACTACAGTTCCTCCTCCCGTCTCTGCAACTTCCACCACCGCATTCTCAGGACTTGTAATGGATATCACTCTGCCCTTACCTTCTGATCCATTTTCGCCCATTTCGCGTTCTATCGATCCATCGATCCCCATTTTCGTCAGCGATTCCAGTAGCATTTCTGGATCTATCGAACCCCAGTGTTTTGTGGGCCGAGCCTGCGTGGAAGGATCGCGCTCCGACCCCACGAGTAATCTGTGTTTCCCGTTGTCCATAACTACCTCCCCTTCCAATCTTGCAATGTTGAGGTTTTCTTCACCTTTCGTTTTTTTCCATTTCAGGTTCGAGGCCAAGTCCATGGTCATCTCCACTTCTTCTCCATTGTCGGTGTTTTTTGGCAAATGTAAAGTCTTGTTCTCAGAGTAATCCAGGACTGCGTAAGGCTTCGCCTCCGGAAGGCTGATTCTCTGGCTGATGGTATCTGAGAGCTAAACCCCGAACGCAAAAAACGAGATTGTAGTCAGATAGATGAAAGAAGAGTGAAGCAGTGACGTGTAAGACAAGCAGGAGAGAATCCGTTACCAAAACTATCTTCGGCTGCAAAATTTTCAGGAGTGTTGGGAGTTTCTGCAGCCTACAAATGAAACACAATAACACACAATTGCCATCTGAAGAGTCCTAACTGTGAATCTGAGTACAATAACGATAAACCGCGCTGTGGGGACATAAATTATACACGGGAAACTTACTTTATTCCAGAAAGAAATGAGCATTGGAGAACTTTCATCGCCATCGGTCTGAAAGGCAGGAGCGCTAAACTAGCAGCTATCCCATCCTTCAATATATATCGTCAGTTTCAAATCCAGTCGGATAATCTGATGGACCTGAGGGGAAAATGAAAAGTGAAAATACCTCAAGGACAAGCAATGCTTTTGGATCTCCACACCAACGCCGGAGGATTTGTACAGAAGGACCAAGCCGCAAACTCCAATGAGGAGCAAATATAATGCACGGTTCCTGCCAGCTCATTCTGTTCCAACAACATAAGCTAAGCGTCAAATGAAAAGTCCAACAATGCTGCAGTAATACCCACAAGTCGAAATCGAAACATTACATCTCGACATGGAAAAAAACTAAGGGTAAGCAAAATAACTACACTGAACCCTATACCTAGAAAACCATCAGACTTGCAGTCACCTAACATGAGCTTCGAATATAAAATTAACTCCAAGACAAGAAAACCAAGATCTTATGTAACACTTACATTAAGTCGGGCGAGTAAATGGCAGGAAACAACAGGATCTTCCTGTCTTTTATGAACTTCGTATGACCAAACAATGGTTCTCCTGAAATAAACTGCCACATCAATCAGAAAGACACAAAACATAGTTTTTCCATTCATCACTTTATCTGATTCGCAGTTCAATTAAATGAGTATATGACAGAAGTATACATTATCCTGTCGTTGTTGGCACAGCCATTCTGGTACAGTGTTCATGTAAGCCAACAGCTCTTCCGCCACAGAAGATATTACATAGATTGGAACCTGAAGCGATAGATCATAAATTAGTGTGCTCCTGTCTCAAGAAAAAAACCACATTCTATTATTCAACAACTTCTCATCACTGTATTCTGAGTGTAAACGGTATCAGAAAGGAATTGAAACAAGGAGATGAAAGCAAAGACAAAAGTGACCTTTTGAGAAAATGATCCAAGAGAATTTGCTATCAGCTCGAGAAGCTGCAACACAGTCCCAATTCGACTAATTGTTATTAAAGTTGAACCACCAGCATTAGCAGAATCTGCAGCACACGAGCTTATGAAAGCTAGTTTCTCCATCTCCTCTAAATTCTCTTCATGGTTTGACAATGAATCAGCTAAATCGTCCTTGTTCTCATCACTGCTTAAAAGTGGAGAGTAAAACAACATCCTCAAACGTGAAACAAAAACCAAAACCATTTTTACGAAAATGTTAAACAAAAGTTCTAGAAGAGAATACCTGAGAGCTGATACACCATTACTGGTTGGGTCAACAGAACAATTATCATTCCCGTCGGTGGAATCTAGGCAGGAGAAATCCGAATAGAGTATCACATCACTCCCTTTCAGCCCATGATAGTCAAAATCCATTGTATGCTGTGAAAGAAATATGGACCCTGATACATAACTTATACTTCCTTTAGGTTCATTGATCAACCAATTGGAGGTACCGATATCTAGACCGGAACTAAGTGCCTTAATGATCAATGTCCCGTTGTAACATGCTTCTTCAGCAAACTTGACTGTTTGAATCTTCTTTACGCAATCCTTTATGTCATCAAAACTAAGGAGAAAAAGGATGCACGTAGATGGCAGAAGCGATCAGAGGAAGATAAAAATTAAACAGATACAGAAGCATGAGAAAAGGGAAAAAAATAATTTAACAAGCAAAGAAATATTACCTATACAAAGGCATCCAACAACCCAGGTCATTGCCATCCTCTCCGAAAGCTATATTATTAAGTAAAGGCGGTGCCTCTTCATGCTCTAACTGCGTTATCCACCAAGGAAAACTACAGTCCTGAGGTCCATAGAACTGTCTGAATTCCATGTGCATCAAGACAAGATCTTCCATCATAAGCTGGCCAATTTTCGCTGTTGCTTCAGTCACATATATCTGAATCAGTTAACAATTGAAACCCTTCAGCATGCCCAAAAACAACAAGCAAGCAGAGCAAAATCAATTGCGAGCTCAAAACTAAAAGTCTTGAAAACATTTACCTTGGCTGAAAACCCGGGGTTCTGCGTGAGGAATGGCAATCCTAGCATTCCCATTGGACTGGAGATCAGAACAATGTCAATGAAAGAAACATCCAACAAATGCAATGCGTTAACGGTTTTGTACCACGGCTCTGCACACACTAAATCGCTATGACTTGGCTGTTTATCGATGGCTCTCTGCCTCTTTTGAGCCGAATTTTCGGCCTCCAACGACATATTAGGACATTCAGAAACTTCATCAGCAGCATGAGAACAGGCATCATGCGGAATAGGAGAGAAGATTGTGATCGCTGAAAGGTCTAAAGGGCAATCAATCAATATACTGAAACCATATAGATTCAGCATATGACATGGTGGACACTGAAAGCCGTCTCCTTTTCTCAAACATGTCTGCAAGAAACACGAACTTACTCAAATTCTAACATCATCTCGTATAAGTAAAGAAAGAGACAGACTTCAGAAACTTTTAAGTAAAAGAAAGTAAGAAACTCACCAATTTCATGGACTTGAACAACAATCGAGCCTGTAAAAAATCCAACAACATCAACACTCCACAAATTTACAATTTACAATCGGAGATATGATTTAGAAATTTACAATTGCATGTAGAAATAGAATCAATGTTAAGGGGTCGAGACAGCGAAATCCGGGGAGAGAACATGACCAGATGACCCACGGCGGTGAAACCCTAAAGACCCAACCAAAAAACCGAAGCTCAATCCAGTAAAATCAGACCAGAAAACGGAACAGATCAAAAACAAGAAAGAGCCAAACGGTTGAACTTCAGCAAATCGGAGCAAGCCCTAACCCAACAAAAACTCGCAGAAAAAAAACCCTATTTGAACCCGAACCCAACAACGAAATCGCACACAAAGATACACAAAAGAGCAAAATGCTCGACAGCTCACTCGCAATTCTCGTCGGGGAAGGAAGAGATAAACCCAATAGATCCTTCTAGTTCGTCGGATATGAGTTTAGTTTCGGATAAACATCGATAGAATAGATCGTATTATTCACATAGGAATATGGTTTGATCGACTTAGGATTGATGATAGCGTTCTTCATGCATCTAGGGTTAACTTGAATAGATCGAAAGATTGACGAGTTACTCTGTAGGTAGTGAGTTGGTAGACCGGGAGGTGAATTCTCTATTCTTGTTGCTTGATGATTCCCGAATATAAGTACGATATCGTGATTCTCGCATGCTTAGCATATGCCCATACACGCGAATACGGTCCCGACACCCATGGTCATCTTTGCTTGATAGTTACACGTTTTTATTTGCTTTGTTATTTTACTTTCTTTTGAGTCCATACACTTCCATCATCATTACTTCCACTTGTTTGCTTTCGATTTAGCAATCGGTCCTTGCGTTTGACCCCGTGTTGCAATGATCCGTATCCTTGCGATGAGTTGTGAATCGGGTTATAAATTCTAGACTCGACACACGTATCAGAATGATAAACCGAGGTTGAGGAAGAGCGACGAAGCGGGGGCGGATACAGAAGAGGAAAAAGCTCTGAGAATTTGATGGTTCAAAAATGGTTGTAAGAGAGTTAGGCCTCGTGGCAGTTTTGGCAGTTTTGGAGTTTTTAGAATTAAAAAAAAAAAAAAACAATTTTAGTAAAAAAAATTAATGAAAAACAAAAGCTACCAAATATTATAAAATCCAAAAGTTAAAAACCAAAAATTAAAAATTAAAATTCAAAAACTAAAATCAAAAACTCAAAATAAAAATCATCTCCTTTCAAAACTTTAATTACCCACCTAGTTCGTAATAATATCACCGGTACATACCATCCGGTACATACCAGTGAAAATATAAGCTATTAAAATTTTTCGGATTAATAAATACGCGGTATTTAAACAAAATGATAAAAAATTTATTGAATTTTTTAAAAAATTACGTTTTTTTTTACATTTTTATCTCTAATCATTACTAGTTCTTATTTTAATTGTATATTAGCTATATATTAATCGTAATAAAATAAAAAAAAATAAAAATAAAAAAGATATTTCGAATTTTTTCAATCGAAAATTGGTATAAAAATTGAAAAAAAAATTATTTTTTTTTCTTAAAACGCGTATACCCGTGATTTGGATACCTTCATACGAGATCGGGTACTCGCGAGACCGGAACCCGTGATTCACTTAAAAAAATCTGTGCAGAATCATACCCGAGCATCAACAACAAGACTAAGATCGAGATTCGGCGATTCGAACAGAGAGATGGATTCGAACATCAACAACACAAACGAAAGGAGACGAGGCCAGACAAGGCAAAGTGGAACAGAGACGGAGGGAGTCGAAGGCGGCGAAAGAGGGAAACACCGAACAGATAGAGACAGAGACGAAAGGAGTCTCTGCGCCCGAGACGAGGTTAATGACGGGCTTGAGATACAGATGGCGAGACGAGAAGGAGACGGAGGGAGACAGAGACGGCGAGACGGAAAGGAGATGAACAGACAGACGAAGGTGGAGGGAGACACATACGACAAAGACGGACAGAGGCGACGGAGAGATGGTGAGACGGCGACGATGGCGGCGAAATCTATGGAGGAGGCAAACGGAGAGAAGAGAGAGAGATGTGAGATGTTAACGGCGCAATGTTGTGTGATATCAAAAATTAGGGTTAGGGTAGAAATTGGGTATTTTTGTATTTTTTTTTTTGGTAAAATAAAGGGTAGAAATTGTATTTTTGTATATTTATTAAAAATAAATGATATTTTTGGAATTTTTTAATATTACCGGTATCCGCGAGATAATCCGTCAGAAAAATTTTAAATCCGAACCCGGAACTCGGATTTTTCGTCTCACTAAACCCCATTATATAGATTTCGGGTATACGTGAGATAGAATATCCAGGTTGGTTGTGTTCAGTTACAGTGACAAATCCGACCCTGATGCGGATAATTCGTTCCAATTCTGAGAACTGAAACGGCACCGTTTTCAAGCCCCCGCGCTTCTTCGAACTCCCGCTCCCCAGGCTTGAGGCTCATTTTCCCGTCTCTCCTGTTTCATTGTTTTGTTAAGACAGCGAGGAGATTGGCCTCATGCTACCATTTGTTAAGACAACGAGGAGACTGGCCTCATGCTACTCTAAAAAGAAAGAGGTTAGATCAAATGTATCTCAATATTTGAGGGAGATTTCACTCATTTTCTATAAATAGAAAAAAAATGGATTTTGACCCTGATTGCTCTCCTTTTACAGGAAAAAAAAGGAGAAAACTTGATTATAGATTTTGAAGTTTCGACTAGAAGACGAACATCAGAGATATTTTATTGATAGGTGATTGTTATTCTCTTAGATTCTTTCAGTTCGGATCGTAAATCAATGTATTTTTTCTCTCTAGCGCGATTCCTAATTTCTGTTTGAAGCATTGAATCTCTGGTTCTGTCGCCTGCCTATTTGGTTTTCTCGTAGAAATGACTTGAGATTGTCGTCATCATGCTTTGATCCCCAATTACCATATCCAGACATTGATTTTGATATCTATTCTGCTAGGGTTTAGGCCAAATTCCGATGTGAACAGCTCAGAAATGGGGTTGTGAAACTTATAATGTGTTTTGTAGCGTCATATTTGGATGTTTTTGTGATTTAGCCGCTCTTCAATAGTTTAATCAGCAATCTATAGTCATGGGTATTTGACTGTACTTTACTGTGATTGCCCTGAGATGAAGGGGAAGCAAACTATGTTATAGTTTTTTTTCTCTCTTTTTTGTTTAGGGACAAAAATGTGTCTCTAACCTTATTTTTCACAGTTTGCTGCAGTTACAGCAATGGCTTCACTTGAATCTCCTAGAGAATACAGAGAGTGGCAGTGGGACAGGAAGCCTGACCAGCTGAAAGTCAAGGAAAGCAAGTCAGAATCTGAGAGGCTCAAGATTATATATGATGAAAAGGTTGGAGGAATTTCCCAATGATATAATGACAGATAAATGAATGTGATTCAGTTTGGTTAAAGATTGTTCTTGATTTTTTTTTTGGTAATGGAGATTGTTCTTGATTTATTTGAGCTTTAGAGCCTTTCCGTGTCACTTGTGCTCCGTCTTGCCTTTCAAAGCCTCGGAGTCGTTTATGGAGATCTAGGAACATCTCCTTTGTATGTTTTCCAAAGCACATTTACCGATGGGATCAAGAACAAGGAAGACGTGATCGGAGCTCTGTCATTTATCATATACTCTCTCACGTTTATACCGCTGATGAAATACGTATTCATTGTCTGTAGAGCCAATGATAGAGGTCAAGGTACAATGAAAATTCTACCCGATGCCCTTCCCTACTCATATGCTCTTGTGATATTGTGCCTGATAGCTCTTTTTTCGGTGTTGAAGGTGGAACTTTCGCGCTATATTCTCTACTATGTCGCCACGCAAGTATAGGGGATATACATGTTCATGACCAAACTGATGAGAAGCTAACAACTTACAGCCGTTCTAGTTATGATGGGCGATCATTTGCTGCAAGAACAAAGAAATGGTTAGAGAAAAATTCGACAAGAAAACATCTAGTTCTTGTTCTAGTCCTTGTTGGGTCTTGTATGGTGATCGGAGACGGGATTCTTACTCCAGCTATATCAGGTATATTTATATGTAAGTATATATGTATATGTATATCTCAGTGAATCATCTTTACTTATCATTGATAAGACCTCCTCTAAAGATTTAGCCCACAGCTGTTGAACAAATACCGAGTAAAGAATAGAATGCTCAAAGTTCCAAATTCAGCTTCTAATGTGAATATAATTGTTAAGCAATGGAACTGCTTTGACAGTACTGGCAGCTGTTGGCGGGTTAAAAACAGAATTCGCCAAGATACCTGAAGGTAAATAACCCAATCCGTAAGAGAATTTTGTTTTTTCAGTACCTAAGAACATTATTGAATGGTATTATACTGCTCTTTGTGCGTAGAGGCGGTTGTGGTTATTGCATCTGTAATAATAGTAGCCTTGTTCAGCATCCAGTATCTCGGGACAGACAAAGTTGGCTGGATTTTTGCACCCATTCTTTTCGTGTGGTTCCTTCTCCTAAGCGGCATCGGTATCTTCAACATTGTTAGATATGATAAGAGCGTTGTCAAAGCCTTTTCACCCATTTACATGTACCGATACCTCAAAAGGGGAGGCACGCAGAATTTCACATCTCTTGGCGGTATTATGCTCAGCATCACTGGTAAATCTTTCTGGCTTTCGATGGATTTTCTGATCAACCTATATAAAGCTCGTTGAAGGTTTAAGTGATGGGATCATTGCAGGAACTGAGGCTCTCTTTGCTGATCTCTCCAACTTCTCTGTCTCAGCCATTCAGATTGCCTTTACGACTATTGTTTTCCCGTCTCTCCTCCTTTCCTACATTGGACAAGCTGCCTACCTTATGGAATATCCCGAACAAATCTCAAACTTATTTTATAGTTCAATTCCAGGTTTAACTCTGCTTCTTGGTTGCTTCTTAGTTGTCTTTGGAATTGGTTCTTAGTTAGATATATTTACTCATAACTAATAAGTAATAAGAAATTTTTCACTTTGGGAAATATCTTGTTCATTTTGAAATCTAAGCAAGTTGGCAAAAATCTGAAATATTCAGCCTTCATGAACATCATGCATGATATTTCCATCGTTCTACGTGCATTTTAGATTCGTTATGGTTTCGAGTGAAAATTCCAGACTGTTTCATTGTTTCGTAGATATCATATACTGGCCAATGCTCGTTCTTGCAACTGCTGCCGCAAGTGTAGCAAGTCAAGCCACCATAACCGCCACGTTCTCCCTAATCAAACAAGCTGTTGCCCTCGGATGTTTCCCGAGGGTCAAAGTTGTGCACACTTCAAAAAAGTTCCTTCATCAGATTTACATCCCTGACATCAACTGGATCCTTATGATTCTCTGTGTTGCCGTAACAGCTGGATTCAAAAACCAGATTCAAATCGGGAACGCATCCGGTCGGTTGGTCGAAATCTATCATTTTAAGCATATTTTCTTGGATCTTGGAGTTTTAAAGAACCTGCGTAGAACTAAACTTTAAAGGGGAAATACCCCATTTTCCTTTCTCTTTTTCCATTGCAGGAACTGCGGTTGTGATAGTTATGCTTGTGACAACATTTCTCATGATCTTGATCATGTTGCTTGTGTGGAACTGGCATTGGCTCATCGTCTTGATCTTCACCATTGTTTCCTTAGCTATAGAAATCACTTACTTCTCAGCAGTTTTATTTAAGCTCAACCAAGGTGGATGGGTTCCACTGGCCATAGCAGCCGGCCTCTTCGTCATCATGTGGGTTTGGCGTTATGGCACACTCAAACGTTACGAGTTTGAGAGGCATAGTGAGATCTCAATGGGTTGGATCCTCGGGTTAGGTCCTAGTTTAGGACTAACCCGGGTTCCCGGCATTGGTCTACTCTACACTGAACTATCCAGCGGTATTCCACACATTTTCACTCATTTAATCACAAATCTACCCGCCATCCACTCGGTTGTGATCTTTGTCTGCGTAAGATACGTCCCAGTCTATACCGTCCCAGAAGGCGAGCGGTTCTTGGTTACCAGAGTTGGCCCCAATGATTTCCACATGTTCCGTTGCGTTGCCAGGTAACAGAATAAGCTGGTAACCCATGAAAATTTGACCAAACCAGATCATCAGTTAACATGTAGCATTTATGTCGTGCATCTGTGTTCAATCAAGAAATAAGCTTTTAATAGATAACTTGTTTAAAACAGGTATGGCTACAAAGACCTGCACAGAAAAGACGACGAGTTTGAGGAAAAGCTCTTTGAGAGTCTCTTCAGGTTAGTCCGGTTAGAAAGCCTTATGCAATCATGTGGCTCAGACATCGAACAGTATTCGGACATTCTGGAAGATGTTTCAGTCGGTGAAGGTGTCCCGACAGTTGCTTCATTAGAGAGTTCTATAGTTCCGGTGGACACACCGACATACTCTCAGGGCAAAACAGATGTAGTTGACGACGAGGCTGAGTTCTTGGCACGGTGTAGAGAAGCCGGAGTTGTGCATATTCTTGGGAATTCGGTAGTGACAGCTCGAAGAAACTCAAACATCTTCAACAAGATTGCTATCAATTATCTGTATTCTTTTCTGAGGAAGGTTTGTAGAGACAACAGTGCAATGTTCTATATTCCTCATGAGAGTCTTCTTAATGTTGGACAAGTTGTTCATGTCTAACAAGTAACAAAAAGTTTGGTTCTTTCTCCTTCTTCCCCCCCTTCCTAAACTATGTACCATGGATACAAGTTTTGGTAATGTAATCAGCGTTAATGTTAACTAGGAACAATAAATACTCAGTATATGTAACAATTCATATAAGAAAAAACAAGAATACTTCATCAGAGATCCTTATATACCATTCACATTACATTAGCATTAAAATGTACTTTAACTACTTACTCTAAACATGTCGCCTAAACACAAGTTTCTGTTTTGACATCATACTTGAGAAATAAACTGAGATATCCAAACAGACTCACGGAACAAGCTGTCTCTCTGGGGCCAATCTAAGTTCAAGCTTAGCAGATTTGTTGAGAAGATAACTTAACTCTACAACATAACTTTGTAAGGGACCAGCAATGGTAGAGTGAGACCCTACTTCCCCGACTTCCTCTTTGGCTTCCTTCTTTGTTAAAGCTCCATAAAATAACTTAGCAGCGTCTTCTGTTGAAAGGGTGTGCACGGACTCGTGCAATTTCTGAAATTTCTCTTTCGTTTCTCGTTCATCAGTCAACTTTTCTCTCAGATCATCTGGAAGAAAGGCCTGCGCACTGCATAGTGTAAAAAGGAACAAATGGATTAACCAGAAAGGGAAAATGTTTCATACAACTCCATTACAAGAAAACATATCTCAGGTTTACAGTGTATCACCTAGAAATACCTCTAACAAGACCAAACTTGTAGCCAGCAAGAATAGATCGCTTAAAGCCGATGTTAAATCCCTCCTGTGCAGCAGCTTCTTTCCCAGCAATAATCCCGTCACGGTATCCAATCTGGGATTATTATTATTATTATTATTATTATTTGCCAAAATGCAAGTGATGAAAGGTTGATCACAATCAAAAAGGCAAATATGCAGAGGAAAACACCAGCTAAATTGGAACCGCATGGAATTGCTCACGCCTTCTCTCCCATTCCCTGTCCAAGGATGCTCTATTTGATTCTTCATCTGAACTTCCCCATAAAGATCCATCGTCATTTCCAAAATCGTAACCATCCGCACCTAAATGGAAAAGGACAATTCGTGTCAGTATCAGTAAGACGATTAGCTTTTCTGCAGGAAACAAATCTCAAGAACACAAAACGAAGTATGTGCTCTCCAAACCCTGAAATCATTGACGACAATATGGCAACACAGATTCATAACCGTGAACTTATATCAGAAATCTCTAGCCATGAGACATTGAACCTTAATACAACATATGAACACAGTAGTAAAGATTTCCTGTCCGTAGGATCAAAAGTACAAAACTTTATCATCAATGAGCATAAACCAAGCTATAAGAAGATAAAGCCAATAGAACACTGCATCAAAAACCCATTGTATACCATGTGAAGCTGAGTCTAAACCAGGCTTCGAAAGCTGGAAGCTTTCTCCATACAGCTCTTCAGTAAGTAATACCTTCGTATCTGTGAACACAACCATCATCAGCCAGCAATAAAGTGATCTAATCAATCCTTGTAGGAAAAAAGGCATGGCTCAGGCATTTCATCAAACACTTGGCGCGCAGCTTTGGATACACAGAAAAGAAGAACAGAGACCCGCCGAATAAACCAAGAAAAACAATTATTTCACCATGTCTGAAGACAATGAGAACAGCTTAATCAAACAGAAAATCAGACTGAAACTAGAAGAGCACGAGCACGAGCCTTTCCGTGGCTCCATCTCTCGCCCTGGCGGTTCGCAATTAAAGCATAATAAAAACATAATTCAAATAACTAGTACTACAAAATTTCTGGACTTTTTGGTATAATAACTCTCGAACCAATTGAACCGGGTCCGACCCGGCCCATTGGATCTTTCGGTTATATGTGTCCCTCAAGAAAATCTCGCTTCTTGTTTTGAAATTTATCTCTCCTTGTCCCCACCCAGAAGAGCATCTCTCGGAGAGATTCTCTCCCGTTCTGCGATTCTCCTGCAGCGGTTATAGAGTGAAACGGAGATTGAATTTCCACCGGCATCCGAATCGTTCATAGGTTTGAACGTCTAGCTTGTGAATTTTCTGGGTTTCTGTCCAGATTCCCTTTTCCATTTCCGTAATCTGGAATTTCATTTGAATTTCGTGTGTATATTGTTGACTTAGGGTTTCTATTAAGTAATTGAATCTCCAATTCTTGTGTTGATGATGATTAGTTTCACTGTTCCAAGTTTCAGCTCTCTGAAATTCCCGAATTTACAAGTGATAGCTCTTCGATTCCGATTCAACAGCTTCATAAAAGTTGTTTTGCTTCAAGTTCGGTCGTAGATGGGTTTTGCTTGCTGTAATTTGCTCTTGAACAATATAGAATTCCTACCCGATTGGAAGATGCATTTGAATTTTCCTTTTATTCTTTTTATTGTGTTAATTATTGAAAATTCTGTGATTCATAACTTGTCATGGTGTCTGTTCATAAGCATCTAGCTGTGTTCTGGTCCGAGGAAATTGAATCATGTTGTCTGAAGTATCCTTTTCATCCATGGTGTCTCTTCATAAGCACCTATCTGTGTGTATTTTTGGCCCTAGGGAATTGAAACTCTCGTTTTTAAAACCCTAATTTCTCGATTCTTAGGAGCATGAACAATGAGACGTGTGGTGAGGATATCCTGCACGGACCCAGAGGCCACGGATTCATCCAGCGAGGAAGATGAGTGTGGATCAGCGCCTGCACGTTCCCGTGGCAAGAAGCTTGTCAAGAAGATTGTCATCGACCCTTCTGATTCATCGGGAGGCCCTAAAGCTTGCAAGGCTCGGACCAGCTTCAAGATCAGGATCCCCTCGG